AGTGATAACAAATCGCCAAAAACCAATGTAACGCAAGAAATACTAAATTTATACCATTGGCGTACTTAACTCGAATGACTGACATTTTTACCGTTACTAATTGTTTGTACATAAGTTTCAACTTTAAAATCAAAATTCTTAATAAGTATTGGGCGAAATTATAAAATTTAAAGTCTGTTGTAAAGAGAATTGTAAGAGCTTTCAAAAGAAATATTACTCAACCCCCAATGCCATTTAAATATTTTGGGGTGATGCTTACCCTTGCTTGGGGGTGAAAGTGGCGGAGTCAAAAATACCAGCAAAGAATGTTCCCCATTAATCTGAAATCGACGGGTCTGAGCGTTTTTCTGCAACCTTGACGCAGTTACTGAAAATGGCTCTGTTTCGTTTTCATTTGGCCACCCTGTATGTTACCAAAATTAAATCATAACTTTTGTTGAATGGGATGTATATCACTATTGTTTCAGATGATAAAAACAGCATATAGCTTCTATACATTTCTACACAATATAGTCCAAAGAGCAAATAACTGATAATTTGCACAAAGTAAAAAAAAAATCGTTCAAATATATTACTTACTACTACTATACTACTACTATACTTACGTCAAGATAGAGGTTTGCTAGAAAATTTCTCAATACTTAATAATTAGTGAATAAGTTGGTTCATAATATCGTAGGAGGTAATTTTATATCAAATTTTTTATTTCCTTTGTTCTAGGCTATCTGAGAATGTTACAAATTAGGTTAGGTTGGGTTAAACATATTTTAAAAAGACTTATGTTCACATTATAGCACATATGTATTTTAAATAAACACCTATCTAAAATACTGACTTTTATTTTACTAAAAATTGTAAGTAGTTTTAGATAGGAAATTGGATGGAAATGTAGAAAACAATTCTGCAACAGTAGTACAACGAGGTGTCCCGGTACTCAATACCAAAAAAGTCGAGTACAAATAGATGAGGTCAAAATAGAATCAGTTCTTCATATAATTTTTTTTCATACGGGCCTTCGTTAACAAGTTACGGGCCCTCAAACGTGAAAATTAAAAAATTGTTTTTATTTACAGTCTCTAAGCTATTAGCTTCAGCATGATGCAAATTTGGTAATCGATAACACATGCGTACAGCTCGTTTTTGATGGTGTAAGTGAAACTTCATTATGCCCAGAACGCCAGGAACGGACTATGCTCAGTGGTTAACAACCTAGAATTTTTGCATAGATGACGATCGCAATCTACCTGTATCAAAAATAAGTTCCCTGAAGAATTTGCCAATGATAATATCCTCTTGGTTCAACTCGGTAAAATTAACAGTTTAGCAAATATTTGCTAAAGTGTTGATTTTATGTTACAGTGAACATCGGGCGGGGCCTACACCATTTTTTCTTTTTAATTTTTAATTGGACCTTGGACTATGTTCGAACCGTACATATTTTTAAAATAAAAGCTTAGAAAATCTTACTGTCTACTAATGTAATTTTCACTAACTAAAGACAAACACACTTGGGTTGGATGTAGAAATTCCATCAGCGACCTTTTGTTTCTCTCATTTTCAGCTACTATTAATTTATAGTCACACGATGTTGTGCTCCAAATATTTATAATACTAGGTTGAAGACAGTTAGTAGTTTTCAATTAAAAAAATAGTATATTCTTCGTTACATGACTGCCAAATTAAAAATACTATCTATACTGAACATCCCAGTAATAGGTAGAAAAAGTTTATATAGAACTTTACTATCTAACTTTTATTAGTTTTCTAATAACTCAATAACTCAAAAATAGTCTCTGATAACTTTTCAGGTAATAATAAAAGAAGTTTCAATCATAGGGTTATGTGATTAGGGGGTATAGGGTTAAATATATTCTGTTTATAGAGTCCTGATATGTCCCCGATGAGAGAGCAAGTTAAACTACCGAGTTACATGTTTATTGGAGTTTTCCGTTATGGAGTTATGGAAATATAGAGTTATGGGGCTAGAAGGTTATAGGATTATGAGGTTATTATGGGTGCACGGTTCCCTTTACAAGATCGTTGTGTGTAATAGGAGTTGACAGATTGGGTTATTTATTTATCTACTTAGTTATTTATTTACTTATTCATTCATTCATTCATTCATTCATTCATTCATTCATTCATTCATTCATTCATTCATTCATTCATTCATTCATTCATTCATTCATTCATTCATTCATTCATTCATTCATTCATTCATTCATTCATTCATTCATTCATTCATTCATTCANGTTCTGTTCTGTTCTGTTCTGTTCTGTTCTGTTCTGTTCTGTTCTGTTCTGTTCTGTTCTGTTCTGTTCTGTTCTGTTCTGTTCTGTTCTGTTCTGTTCTGTTCTGTTCTGTTCTGTTCTGTTCTGTTCTGTTCTGTTCTGTTCTGTTCTGTTCTGTTCTGTTCTGTTCTGTTCTGTTCTGTTCTGTTCTGTTCTGTTCTGTTCTGTTCTGTTCTGTTCTGTTCTGTTCTGTTCTGTTCTGTTCTGTTCTGTTCTGTTCTGTTCTGTTCTGTTCTGTTCTGTTCTGTTCTGTTCTGTTCTGTTCTGTTCTGTTCTGTTCTGTTCTGTTCTGTTCTGTTCTGTTCTGTTCTGTTCTGTTCTGTTCTGTTCTGTTCTGTTCTGTTCTGTTCTGTTCTGTTCTGTTCTGTTCTGTTCTGTTCTGTTCTGTTCTGTTCTGTTCTGTTCTGTTCTGTTCTGTTCTGTTCTGTTCTGTTCTGTTCTGTTCTGTTCTGTTCTGTTCTGTTCTGTTCTGTTCTGTTCTGTTCTGTTCTGTTCTGTTCTGTTCTGTTCTGTTCTGTTCTGTTCTGTTCTGTTCTGTTCTGTTCTGTTCTGTTCTGTTCTGTTCTGTTCTGTTCTGTTCTGTTCTGTTCTGTTCTGTTCTGTTCTGTTCTGTTCTGTTCTATTCTATTCTATTCTATTCTATTCTATTCTATTCTGTTCTGTTCTGTTCTGTTCTGTTCTGTTCTGTTCTGTTCTGTTCCGTTCCGTTCCGTTCCGTTCCGTTCCGTTCCGTTCCATTCCATTCCATTCCATTCTATTCTATTATATTCTATTCTATTCTATTCTATTCTATTTCAGTATACCTACAAACTACAATAAAATAATTACTGCATCAATTAATTAATTAATATTTAATAAAACTATAGAAAATAATTATAGCTACACATTTCACATCTTCGTATTAAATAATTTATTCCCGCGATGATTTCATGTGTCCTCTGCTTGAAATTGTCACAGGCGTCTATTATTCTTCTCTGCAACTTATTACTGTCTTCAATTGGTACAGAGTAAACATCATCTTTCAAACTTCCCCTTACATTATAGTCAAGGGAGTTAAGATCTCGTGATCTAGGAGGCCAAGACACCGGCCCCTCCACATTAAACAACGCCTCATATGGCGAACGTCCTATCCAGCGGTTCTAATAATTTGCATTCTTCCAGTTACGTACTATCTGGCCAGAGTGAGCTGGAGCTTTCTCCATTTGGAACTAACTGTGATATCTTTGATTTAAGGGAATATCTTCCATTAATTGAAATAAGTTATTTTCCAGAAAATATATAATACTCTAGAATCTTTGATTTGGATACCTGTAATTGACGGGATGCTCTTCTGCTACTTGAATGTGGATTGTTATTAATTAAATTAATTATGTCATTTTCAATTCTCATTTGTCTTCTATTTCTCCGTTCTAGGTTTTCATTTCTCTTGCCTAAACCTAATTGTCGAAAATCTAATATGAGAATAAAAACTTGTTATGTCGGAATTCTCCTATTTGTAAAACGCCTTCGATATTCTTGAACAGATTGGCGTTTCCATAAATGTAATGAATATCGGGATATTTTTCATTGTTTTTGTGAATATAAACTCCTATTTTCTCTTATGTGGTTTGTCTATTCCGCTTTAATAAATAAAATTACTAGCACATTATAATTTCTTCTGCCAATTGATTATTTGTTGCGATGTTACTACGTATTGTTTGCCAAAGTTACTAGATTTTTAATAATTGTCATTAATACATTTACAGAAATTGCGATAGCAACGCCAAACAATCTTGAAAAATATCGAATTGTCACTTGTTTTAGAATTAGGCAAATTATGTTTAGACAAGTAAAACAATAACATAATACGTAAAAAATAAATGAACAGAAAATAAAATATTTGAAATGATCGGTTGAAATCCTGAAACACCACTTTTTATAATGAGATAGACCATTCGCTTCTTCAAGTTAGCTTTAGCTGATATTTTTGTTTTTAATGTTGTTTTACTATAGTTTGTATAACAGATTTTTTTAATAAAATATTATCATTTTGACAATTATTTATGTAAATAAAGATTAGTTTAAATAAATATAACATAGAAAGCATTATAATTACAATGAACATATAGATTTTTTTTTCAGATTCTGAAAACTGCATATAGCTTTTATGCCTTTCTACGAAAAGTAACATGCGAATTGACAAATTTTGCACATATTTTGTCACACTGTTACCCAAACATTACGCTTTCTTAATACTTATAGTGTCTATAGACTATAGAGATTTTAAAAAAGCGGTAACTCCAGAAAGCTAGGATATTTTTCAATTTTCTTTAGATAATATCATTTGAGGTAGTTAGTTCTTTATTGGAAAAAATCTGCTTTATGGTTATTTTCCAAATCGCTTTTACATGTAATAAGAAGAGCTTTTTTCAAATCTAATAACTGTAGTACTATGTGTACATTTTAATTAAATTAGTACTAAATGCATTGAGTTTTATTTTGTCTTCTATATTCCCTATGAACAAAGAAATTTACAATCAAGTGAAAATTCGGTTTTGTTCTAGTAAAATTTTTAGTCTTATAATCCTGTAAATACTATATTTGATACTATAGTTATAGTACATATATATGTGTGTAGAAAAATTATATCAAAAAGTGAGTATAAAAACCACAGAACATTCGATTTCAAATATAAAGTTTTAATAAATATAAAAGAATAATTTACTAACATACATAATTAATGTTACCCTATATTTCGCTGCAGTTCAGGGTATCCATTTATATCTAAGAATTGTTGATTAGCAATCGATATGTTGAACATACATATTTCATCAGATGGAAGTATGCATTTTTTTTATCTTTGCCTCTGTATTAACTATTTAACATAAACTATACACATTTTTTTTACAAAAATTCACATTTTTTAATACCACCCTAGAATATAGGACACAGAGTAGATAATATCTTTCAGGTTTTTCTTTCTAAGAAGAATAGAATATGGGACTTATTAACAACTTCAATATTACAATATCTTTAATATTTACCTTGTAATAATTCTAAAATTGTTAATGTTTTTCGATATGTTCGTTGAAGCTTTCTAATAAATATTTTGAAGAACTAATAGAAGTAACTATTAGCGTTAATAAGTTACCTACCATGTTTTTGAATTCTTGTACCATGTGGTAATTTATTATAGTTTGTACTGCGAACACTATTTATTTAAAAATTCTTCTTTGTATTTACATAAAATGTTAATTTATATTATTTGGTTGGGTCTTAATTTAATTTAACAATTTTCTTTCTATCAAATAAAATTAATTGAATAGGTATTTTGGGTAAAAAATTTTCAAATATCTCTAATTTCGCAGAAACTGAAGATATTATAAACTTTCCTCGTTTTGTTCGTTTTGAGGTGTAGTTTTATAAAAAAAATATATAAAAATAATACAATATTAGTTTTTTGAGGTGTTTTTGATCTTTAAACATAAAAAGTGCTTTTTGAAAAAGAGTGCCGTTTTCTTCTTCTAAAAATTCTTAATAAATCGTCTTTCAATAGGCTTTATATATGAGACGAGTTCTAGAGTGGGATATTTTTCGAATTAAAAAAAATTGTTTTGGTAGGTATTCAATTTTTTGCAGATAATGTACAGGGTGGGCAAATAAGCGAGGTAATTATTATTAATAATAATAATAATAATAATAATAATAATAATAATAATAATAATAATAATAATAATAATAATAATAATAATAATAATAATAATAATAATAATAATAATAATAATAATAATAATAATAATAATAATAATAATAATAATAATAATAATAATAATAATAATAATAATAATAATAATAATAATAATAATAATAATAATAATAATAATAATAATAATAATAATAATAATAATAATAATAATAATAATAATAATAATAATAATAATAATAATAATAATAATAATAATAATAATAATAATAATAATAATAATAATAATAATAATAATAATAATAATAATAATAATAATAATAATAATAATAATAATAATAATAATAATAATAATAATAATAATAATAATAATAATAATAATAATAATAATAATAATAATAATAATAATAATAATAATAATAATAATAATAATAATAATAATAATAATAATAATAATAATAATAATAATAATAATAATAATAATAATAATAATAATAATAATAATAATAATAATAATAATAATAATAATAATAATAATAATAATAATAATAATAATAATAATAATAATAATAATAATAATAATAATAATAATAATAATAATAATAATAATAATAATAATAATAATAATAATAATAATAATAATAATAATAATAATAANTACTTTATATGCGGCGTTAGGGTCATTCTGATTAAAAACTTCTGTCCAATTTTCATGTTTAAAATAATTTTCAAGAGTTAAATAGTTTGTAAATTTTATGTCTTCATCAGAAACATTCTTCGAGTTATTTTTTACATTAGTTTTCATATTTATGCATAACAGAACTGTGTAGTGATCGGTCAGATTTGTTTTAATTATATATGATTGCAATTTAACTTTTGCTAAACAATTGATTTTGGGAGTCCCAACAAATATATGATCAATTAACGTGGAAGAATCGTCTGTAACTCTGGTAGGTTTATTAATAATATATGGAAATAGATCAAATTCAGCCAGGGCGCATATATAACTGTTCACGTAAGAATCAGCTGTATTCAACAAATCAATATTAATGTCACCTATAAGAATTTTGACATCACATTTTCTCAAATTCAAAAAATAGGTCTGCAAATCCCCTATATATGTCTTTAAGTCAGATTTCGGTGGCCTATAACAAGCTATCAATGTAAATCTTACATCATTCAATGTAAAAGAGATTTCCAGTAATTTCAACTCAGACAATTGAACAATATCAGAGGTACACCGAATATGACTCTTTACAAAAACAACTACACCATCCGATTTATCACCATCCGATGTTGATTGATTATAATAGCCAGTAAAATTTGGAATTGCAAAATATTCAAAATTATCTAAATTCCATGTTTCAGAGAGTATAATTACATCAATATTGTCAATATCAAACGTCTGAAGATATAATAGAAGTTGATCAAAATTTTTTTTTAAACTTCTGATGTTAAAATGAACAATATTAAAATTATTATCGTCTTTGATATACCCAACACAGGCAATTACATCATCACACACCACTGCGTCCTCCCGTTCATAATTATCTAGCTCATTTAGTAATTCCAACATTATGTAAAGATTGAATATTAACAAGCTTGTAAGAAACAAATGTAAACTAAAATTAATAATACAATGAATATAGAAGTAAATTTAATTACAAGAAAAATAAGATAAAAATGGAAAAAAAAGAAAATAAGATAAGTGAGAATTAGAATCTGTATCATAATTGCCCCTAAACATAGTTTAAGAATTGTGCTCCTGCATATACCGATTTATGTCATCCATACTGTGTATCTTAAAAGAACGCCCATTCAGTTTAACATACAGCTGTCCCTTAAAAGTCCATGCATTTTTTCCTCCTACAGTTGCCTTGGCAGATGACAGGATTTTTCTTCTATTTACCGTGAGGTCCTCGGCTATGAAAATATTTTTCCCTTTAAATCTCTTTGCGTTTTTCAATAAGCGAACCTTGAGATCATGATTAACAAATCCGACAATAACTGGTCTGGGTTTTTTACCAAGATGGTTGCCAACTCTATACGACAAAAATATGTCTTCAACATGAAGGTTGAGTGACGTGTTCATATTTAGAAGCTCGATTACTTGAGCTTTTGGATTTGTATTCGGATTATTCTCTTCAAGAAGTCCGTAAATACAAATATTATTTATTTTTGCTCGTTGTTCCAAATCGTCTATTTTTTGCTCAAGATCATTCAACTTAATGTTTTGCTCGTCAAGGTCTGTTTGAATTTTAGAGAGTTTTTGCTCCAGCTTATCACTAATAGTTTTTGTAATTTGTCCCACAAATTGTTGACTTGAAAACAATTCCATTATTGTATCCTTAACTAAAGACTGAATATCAATTTTATTTCGAGTGGACATTATGTAAAAAAAAATTGATTGCACAAACTCAATGCAGAAAGGACTTAGGTACACACTCACAGTTTTTATCTTACTACTTTGCACAGTTTTAACCACGAAATAACAGAACTTAACGGAGCAATTTTAATACACGTTCATTCCGACAGAGCCATGAAACCCAAATGAAATGTATATTATAATATTAAAATATAAATTTTGGATGTGTGTGTGTTTTTGGTTTAGATTGTATTTTTTATTTAAATTGTAAATAGTATCATACAAACTTCTACTATATTTTTTTATGTCTTACCTTGTACTTAATCCCTGGCTAGTTGTTGGTAGACACTTGTCATATAGACAATATCAGAAAATTCTCAGGAGTCAGTTCTCACAAACTAGTACAATGCAACACACTTTGGAGTGAATAGAGTTTGAAATTTAATAAAGTGTTTATTCAAAATTTTGTTATATTATTTTTTGACTTGAAGACTTTATAAACTCAAATTTATGAATACCTTTTTTATATAGAATATGTTTTCCATAATAAAGAATATTTTTAACAACGAAATTCGTCTGTTTCTGTTTAGCTTACAAATAATATAAGGAATAACTAAAAAATTTCTATTAATTAACTTTATGCAATCCGGAGTAGATTTCTTTATATTATTTGTTGCCTATCATTCAGGGGCATCCTTACATCTAAACAAGAATGAAAATTAGTCAGAATTAAATAAAATGGCTGTTCATTTGACAGATTTTGTCAGAGCTCTTCGAAATATTGAATTATTTAAGTTATTAGTGATTGGATTTTGCTTATTTTTGTACAGGTAAGTCCTGTGGTTTGTTATTTATACTTTGCAAAGATTTGAAGCGAGAGAAAGCATGATTTATTTGGAATAACTAGCGATATTTTAGTGCACTAGTTTTAGGTACCTGTTACGTTGTGAAATTTGTAGTTTTCTTCGCTGGAAACTACGTAGAAGCCTTACAGACTATTTATGGGGCCACTGGAAACTACCTTGGAACTGCTTTCTACTGCTGGTAGCGGATAATTTTCATGGGCTGCCAAAATAACTTTAGCTGGACTCTGGCAAACTATAGATTTACTGGTATCTAAGTATTTAATTTTCTTCCTTGGACTCTTTCTTCTTGTTTTATTTTTAATTTTTCGGGAGCTGCGTCTCCACGCTGTACATCTTGCAAAACCCAAGCCGTAATCAATCAATAATTTCTTTGTTTTTCTCCACCTTCCTGATTTTTCTGTCCCTAGCTTTACTTAAGGTCCATGCACAGAAATTTTCAGTCTTTTTCAAACACTTTTTCACACCACTACTTATAACTAACACATTTTTAACAAATGACTTTTTACTTTTATTTACAGTTCTATAAATTATTTACTGAAATACACTTTATTTAATATTTTTTTAGGTCATCTCTGGGTATTCTTACAAAGCCACCTTTAGCTTTGACATTTGTGAAATTTATTATAAAATTTGACATTTGATGAAAAATTTTTATGTTTTTTATGTTTATGGTTTATGTTGGATTGAGATATATTCTTTAAGTTTACTCGTCTTCCTGCGGATATATATATATATCCGATTAATCTATAGACTTTAAGCTTTCATTTGACATTAATCACTCTAGGTTTAAATTCGTTTTTCTTTATGTACTGATTACTAACAAGTGTCGATGTCATGCATTTTTTTGAAAATTTATTCTGTACTTGAGAATAAAATTAAAAGATTATTATTTTTATACTATGTAATATCAATGTTCATTACTAGTTTTATATCCAGAATTTCCATATTAACAATTTTATACCAATTCGGTGTTGCTATAATAATAATTAAAATTTGTATACGACTTTAACTTCGGTCAGGCTATATTTTCATCTGAGTTTCTACATTAACATTTCAAATTCGTTACAATATATTCACATTTGGCAAAATGTAAAAACCAAAACTACGTCAGAAATAAATAGCTTCAAATGATATATTATTATTTAACTTCTTGATGTCAATTATGTATTTTTTTCTAAGGATGTATTAAGAATTTCCTAAGGAAATTGTAGGTAATAGGTATCTGAGTAGAAAGGTGTAATTTTCCTCTTTACCTACACTTATATAAGATTGGTGCAAGAGAACTTCTATCATTTGCCATTTGCTCTGCCATACAATTTGACATTTTGCAATTTGTTGGTCGTAGTAACAATTAAACATGATTAGCAGTTACTGCTATAAATATTTTCTATTTATTGGAGTACACCCTCAACAACCTTTTAGCAAATGCCGCTTTATTTTCAATATTACAATAATAATATTTTTCTTTCTGATGGCATGCGTCAAATGTTATCAAGATAAGAATCTATACTTTGCGGAAATACTAAATAGTTTTTTCTTCGTAAGTACACTAATTTCTTTGTAAAGCACAACACTTTTACTTAATTGATACTGCCTTTTTGATTGTCTTTGCTTGTCTGTTAAAGAAATTCCATTGACAACCCTCATACAGGGCGTTTCATTAAGACGACTGATAAATTAGCAATAATTAATTTCTATTTTAGGTAACTATTAAATACTTGGGTATGGTGTTAGGTAGGAACAAGATACAACAGATTTTGCAAAGCATGGAACATTTCTGGAAAGTCAATGTTGCAGATGACAAAATAAAATATCTCATGCAACATTTGAAAAGAATTGAAAGGAGTTTAAGTTGTCTTCATATTTTCGGTGTTCTCATATACGCAGGGAAGCCCTTTATTGCTAAAGGATCATCAATATTTAACTGCTACGTACCGTCTATAATTCCATTTCCTTTGTTTTACGTTTTTGAGTTCTACTATCTTCTATTGGCGTCAACTTCATATATTTGTTTCAGTTCCTTTACATGTGCTCTTATTATTTTGGTTGTGGTACAATTTAGGTTGTTGAATTTAAGGATTAGAAGCCCAGATTTAAATGATGTTGAAAATACCGACGGCCTTGAAAAGTTTATCCGAGATTTGAGATCCATCGTTGAATATCAACAGTTTCTCATGAGGTAGATATGTCGTATTTTAACTGAGTGTGTAATGTCTCCCAATATAATTTTCTAGATATGTTGAGGTATTGAATAAATTATTATCTACTCCAATTGCATTGCTGATGGTCTCCAGCGTTACAGAATTGTGTATCAATATGTACATTTTGTCGTTAAAGTAAGTAATTTCTAATAATTTAATTATTTTAAAATCAGTCGCCCGATTGCTAATTTTCAGCGGAGAAATCATTAACAAAAGTAGAGCTATAATAGTCAGTTTTTGCACACTTCTGGATTACACGATGGTATATGGCCTGCCTGCACAATTACTGATGAGCGAGGTATGCATTAAAAAGTACTTAAAACAAATAATTTTCAAAGAAAAACCAATTTGTTTTAGTCAGCAGCAACTGCAGACATGATATATCATGAGTGCAAATGGTACCTACCGATTCTACGACCTCTACGAAATGATTTTTTGATAATAATTGCCAGGAGTCAGAAAGGCGTTCGCTTAAGGGCTGCAAACTATCATGTGATTAACAACCAAACTATTTTACTAGTAAGTATAATATGCCAAAATTAAAACATTGTTTCTGTACGGGATGTAAATCAGTATTGTTTCAGATGGTAAAAACTGCATATAGCTTCTATACATTTCTACAGAACATAGGCCAAAGGCCACGTAATTGATAATTTACACGAAGCATAAAAAATTAATTTCAAATGTATTCACCAGTATTACAGATGCCTGCCAGAAAAGTTCTCTTTAGATAAATGGTAGATGAGGTAGTTCACAATATATCATAGGGGGTCATTTTTATATCAAAATATGTCATTTTCTTTGTTCTAGAGGATCTGAGAAAGTTACAAAATAGGTTAGGTTAGGTTAAATATTTGTTATTTTGAAAAGACAGTTATATTCACATTATACCACCTATTTATTTTAAGTAAACACCTATCTAAAGTTATTGAGTTTTATTTTATTTGAGATGTAGAAAACCATTTTACAATATCAAAAATCATTTTCTCTTACTTTAAAATCAAAAAATCAAAAAATAAATGTTCTATAATTTTGAAATGTACATAGATGATCTAAACGACGATACTAAATTTATGATTCGACAGTTGAATTGGTTTAATCTACTGTAATCTGACATCACGTTTTCGAGCTCGATTTTCATGACAAACTCTACTGTCAAATCAGAAATTTCCTATCTTCATTTGTTTCTGAGTTACAGGGCGTTTCTCATTATTGTGACATTTTTGAACATGATTGTCTGTATCTCAGCTGTTAAATAAGTTAGAGTTAAACTGAAAACTGCTCAAGATTATTTCTTGGGCGTAGAATTGAATGCCGGTATAAGATTTTTAGTAGATCTTAAGATTCCGGAGTTATGACCCAAAGTTATATTTTTTTTGATGGAAATCGTTTAATTAGCTTCAATTTGCTTTGATTTAACGAGCTATCTTGGCTTTCGAAGAAACATTTGTTGTTCATCCTTGATATTTGAAACATGTGCAAAAAATGACTTTACGGTTTTTTCCCGAGGTATTCCCTTTGATTAAATAAAAAAATTATTGTCAACAGATCTTGACATTAGAGACTACAAGCTACAAAACATTTTTTTATCTGGACACGACCATTTTTCACTGAATCTTTCAAAAATCACTAAAAAATTTTGTTTTCCTTAAATTTTTGCCCGTATCTAGTGTATAAACTCCACTTAAACCCAAGCTAGTTGGGTTCAAACGAATGTAGGAATTATTCAGTGATCCCAAAAATATAAAGATACGCTGGTTACACTTCATTTCTAAATGTAGAAAAGCGTAATATTAGCAATTTGCCCTATTTTTTTTTAGGTTAGGTACGAACTCCGACTAGTTGAAGTTATATGGATATCAGAACTGGTTTCAGCTATCCCGAAAACATAAAGTGTGGTGTCTACACTGTATTACTCATCGTAGAAAAGTATTATTTCAACGATTTGAAGTATTTTTAACGTTAGAGACGAACAGTGACAAAATGAGGTTTAACGAACATTGAATTCGAAATAGGCAACCCCAAAAGCGTATAGATACGGTGATTTAGTCTACAATACAGTATTTATATGTTTCTTATTTACCAATATTAGTCATTAAACAGGATTTTCTATGATTGCGGACGCCATATTGGAACCGCCATGATGTTTATTTGAAATCATTTTTATCTTTAGTTATTGTGTCAACTATTAATATTACCCTAGAAGAATATACTCGTAAAATACAGAGTAGATGAGATTTTTCAATTTTATGATGTTTGCGGAGTCCTAACTTCTGAATGTCTTCCTTGGATCATTTTAGACAAAAAACGTTAAAGTCCTAAAGTTAAAAGTTAAAAAAATTCATCACATTTATTTAAATGTATCTGAAATTGTATTACTTGGATTAATGCTGCTATTCAAAATAATCCAAGGAAACTTCCTGAAAGATGACATGGATTTAGAAAACACCGTTTAATAAACTTAAAAGCTCTTGTAAATTGAGACATTGTAAATATTTTATTTTTTACACATTTGTCAATACAAGGCTAAAGTACACAATATTATGACTCACTATATATGATGAGAAAAGGAACCAGGAACTGTAGAATAAACTAATACCCAGCTTCCTATGATCCGATACCAATTTAACCATAAATCAATATTTTTTTTCTTTTGTAAATATCTTTAATAGGTGGAGATTATGACAATAATTTAGTTATAGCATTTAACTTTTCCGCAAGCAATCGCAAAATGAACTTCAAAACTCATGAATATTTAAATTCTTATAGAAAAGAAAATATGTTTTAATAAGTGGGCGGTGAAAGTAATTTTTTTAATTCTGCTACATAAGTACAAGATTATACGACATTTGTCATTTACCATCTTAACTTAGCAATAGACCACGAATAAAATGAAGGACAGTTACTTCTACAAACATTTTATGTTTCTTGGAATACACCCTGACAAACAGTTTAACAAGTGTCGTTTTATTTTTGATGTCATTACAATAACGTGCATTTTTATTTTGGCGTTAATTAAACTTTTTCAGGATAAGAATTTAATAAATGTAGAATTGGTCTCTTCCGTTTTTCTTGTAAGTATACAAAACAAGAATATTTTTGTGAAAAACTTTTGTTGATGCTAAAAACTGACTATTATTTGTATTCCAGGCAGCCATAAAGTATCTTACTTTGGTGAATTGGAGAAAAATGACTAGACAGTTTGAATATACCATAGAAGAATTCTGGAAAATCGTCGTAGCAGATAACCAAATAACATTCCTCTTACGACATTTAAAAGCTGTAGAAACTTTTTATAGATACGTCTTCATATTTGGTCCTTTCGTATTTATGGCAAAGCCACTGGTTACGCAGGACTCGTCCATTTTTAATTGCTACGTACCTCCCGTGATACCGTTTCCATTATTCTACATTCTCGAATGTTACTTAGTCTTTCTAGGGTCATCTGCCTTTATTGCTCTGAATTTATTTGCATGTTCCCTCATAGTTTTAGTTGCGGTACAATTCAGGCTTCTGAATTTGAAGATTAAATATCTTAATTTGGAAGATATTGAAAATTCCCAGGATTTTAATCGCTTCGTTAGAGAATTGAAGTGCATTGTTAATTATCAACAGTTTCTTATGAGGTGGGTTCATTTAATTTTATTTTAATTTAGTCCTTTTGCAACTAAACCGACCACCCTAAAATATTTCATAGAAGCACCTAAATATTAATTAATATAACTTAGAATTAATATTTGGTTGCAGAACCATTCATTATCGATTCAGGTTGCAATAAATAACTAAGAGAAAAAATTATTTAAGACAAAATAAAATTTAATTAAGTAAAACGATAACGGAACAAAAATACACTTTTTCTTTTATCTAAAAAATTATGGTGGGTGTTTTTAATGGACATCCTGGTTATTGTTAATGGTGTGTATGTCCTCCTCGAGTCCGAACTACAGAATTCGTCGTGACAGTGAGTCTACCAAATTTCTTAAGCGTATTTGTTTCGAGAGTTGGAAAAAACGTTGGCATAAGTGCAATGTATCGGGTGGGGATTACTTTGAAGGCGAAGAAATTAATTTGGAAACATAAAAAATAAACTCACCTCTTTTTGGACAATGGGTTATAACATCACTCTATATAACGCACTTCGATGGGTCGTTGACGTTTCGAAAATCAATCTGTTTTCGTTTTCAGTACTCAACAATGATGTTTCGTTGATTAGTCAATGATGTCAATTTTAATCAGTAACAAATAAAAACGAAATGTCGTTGCTGAATGGAGAAAACGAAAACAGATTGATTATCGAAGTGTCAACGACATGTTAAAGGGAGCGATAAAAAGTTATGCGAATTTTGTGATTCGCCTGCTTTCTTCAGTGTTGTGTTAATTAAAACGATATTCATCAACTCCGAGTTGCTATACACGCAAGCCATTTTGACATTAACTACTAAAAAACTATTATAAACATTATCGCAACAAAGATTGTAAAATCGGATTTCCGTATTCCGAGTCGCTGAGGCCACGTGGCTCTCCACGCGTATTACGAATGACGCTAAAGACTGCAGTTGTCCAGCTATGTAGTGATTGAAAGTACTGCAACTTCAGTAATTTTTTTCTCGGAAACTATAAGGATTTTGCAAAAAATTTTTTTTACAATAATGACTCCATTTCTCATGCCTCATCTATTCCCAATTTTTTTTTAATAAGTTGTGAATCACCGCGTATATTTTCAAATATTTCCAATATTTTTTGTACACTTTTATTTAGAATTAACAAGACAAAATTAATAATTTTGTCTCTTTCAGATACGTTAAGGATTTGAATAAATTATTCTGTGTGCCGGTTGCATTTCTAATGATCATCAGTGTCATCATTTTGTGTTCAAATATGTATATCCTCTCAACAAAGTAAGTATTTTTGCAAATATTGAACTTTTTAAACTGAGATAGAAACTGAATCTATTTCGTCAAGAGAGTGTTTAGAGTCAGAGAAAATTATTAATTATAAAAATTGTACGAATTCCCTGAGACGCAGAGTGGGAAAAAAATCTCTGTACAATAAAGATATTTTTCATTTTTTTTATTAATTAGTGAGTCTAAACTTAGTTAATGTTGGTTTTGAGGTTAGGTCAAGCATTAAAAAAAGGTTTTTTCGAAAAAACCTCACCGGAATATGAAAATTCAGATTACCACGAGATTATTAAAAAAAAAATCACGACGAGACGATGAAAATTGGCGAGCGGCGAGAATTTTGTCCAATATTTCCCACTGTGAGACGCTTGCATTTAATGTCACATCATGCAAATGAGCGTTGACAACTTATCAAAATAAACCGGCTCTACTTTTTTTTTAATCCCTGTATATTTTAACATTTTTGGATACAAATCTTTCTGATGATTACAGTGATATAAGGTTTAGAGTATAGGTTTATTTCGAATGTATGTCGAAATGTTAAACAAAAAAAATTACAGGGTGTTGGATTCCTTTTTATTTCTTATTTTCTCCTTAACTCAGAACCCAACAACAGCAAATTTTGTTCAAAAAAAGAAATTTTAATATCCTGTAACATTTTTTGCGACTTTTTTCGTTTAATTAAGTTTGGTTAAAACAACATTTGGATTCTAGATTATACCCTTGAAGTTTGTAACATTCGTTAGGTGACACCCTGTATAATATTTATGTGAAATATAACACAAGAATAAATTTAAAATATTTTATATATTGTACACTACATTTATCCACAAGGTAATCATTAAGGTGGCCATATTCCTGGCCGAGAAATAGTGAAATTTCTGGCGTTTTTAGGTACTGAAATCTTTAAAAGTAAAACGTGTAGAACAAAAGTAAGCACAAAAATAAAATCCTTGATGTTTTGTTTATTCATTGTTACCATTTAAATTTACTCAAATAAAATAATAACTAAAAAAAAGCGTTTGTAAAACATGCGTTTGCTGTTATTCTAACCCCACATTTTAAGAATTATTTTCACGTACTTATAAATAAAAGTAAACAATTTTATATGTAGGACTAAGCAAGTAAATGTTATAAGAATATTTACATGTGGAATTATATATAAAAAAGTTAGTATTTTCGTAGATTTCAGTACCTAAAACCTTGATGGTTTGATCGTTTTTTGCACCTGTTTATTCGTTTTACTGCGGCGTCTTTGAAAATACTCAGATGGCATGACATAACATTCCTATTATTTGATAAGCTTTAGATTATTCAGTTATTAAATGTTTGAAATTATTTGTCTTTGCGGAAAACACTATTTAAAGAATATGGGGCCCTTAAGTGAATTTAAATTATTTTCAAATTTTGTATTTACTGTTAACGTATTCATCAATATCGATATAAGGTAACTTTTCATTATAACTTGAAGCATGATTTGAAGTTTCAATAAGTTATCAACCAGTTACTTTTTGAATTTATGAGAATCGAATTTGCGGGGAATCTTTCCTATAAAGTTTTTATCAAGGACGTTTCGTTAAAAAGGTACAGGGTGTTAAACTTTAAAAAATATTTTTAATTTTTTTAAATAATTTAAAAACTAGTGAGTGAAATAATTTAAAATTGCGCACATGTATTTATGTAAACATTGTACAAAATCTGAGGCCTTTTTTAAAATTTAGATGCTCCAGTGGCGGAGTTACAGGGTATCGGTGGCATATTTTTCTAAATAAAATAGTACGCCACTGCTTTATGGTAACAACCGTGATATTTTCGGATTCGTCTTTCAATTTTCTGCAAATTACTACTCTGATTTTCGAGTAAAACTTAAAAAACGAACAGAGAATACACTTCGATATTCGAATATAATGCTATTTAAAATTACATAGTGGGCTGCGATAGCAACTTTGACATTCTGAGCAGTTAGAAGAAAGAATAAATAATGCGTTGCATCAGATTTAAGCCTCAATAAATTTCGAACAAATTACATTTTCGTTACTAAAAAGGTGTCGGGCCTGTGTTTATGGAAATAGAGGTATTTTTGAGCATTTACTCAAACAAAATCATTAAAATGATGACTAATGTTATTAATTTATTTATTCGAGTAAATAACCGAATGCTTGTCATGTCATTTAAGTAAAAGTGTTTTCAGTTGGTTTTTTAAGTTTTACTCGACAATCAAACCCTTTTTGAAAAACATTACAGAGTAGTAATTTGCAGAAAATTGAAATATGAATCCGAACATACCATGGTTGTTACCGTAAAGCAGTGGCGTACTATTTTATTTATAAAAATTTGTCACCGATACCCTGTATCTTCAACATTGGAGCATCTAAATTTTAGGAAACGGCCTCAGATTATGGACAATGTTTACATAAATACATGTACCCAATTTCAAATTACTTCACAATTATATTTTTTGAAGTTTAACACCCTGTATCTTTTTAACGAAACGTCCTAGATAAAAACTTTATAGGAAAGACACCTTAAAATTCACCAAAGAATACGAGGTTTCATTTTTGGTCACCATTTGTGAATCACCTTGTATAATTAATAAAATGTAACTTCAGATTCACGAATCATTATTTTTTGAGACATTAACATTTTCTTGACTATTGACTAGTTTGCATTTGACTCGGAGTAAAACTTTATAAAATAATCGACAATAATTTATAGATTAACATTTGTTAAACTTAGATTGAAGTATCGAACATTGTTTTAAGCTGCAATTGAACAATTTATTTTGTCGCATATATGTATTATCATATTTTGTCCTGATCCATATATTTATTATTTTTTCATTTACTGTAAATTGAAAAAGTATCTTTATATTATACGAGAGCAACACCTCAGGAATATAGTTTTTCTACATGCCTAGTTGAAATATTTATCAAACAGCTTCTTAGAGATGTTTTCATACACCGCAAGGGTAACGTAGTCTATGTACAGGGTGTCCCACTAAGGTCGGTCACGTACGATATTAGGAAAAGTATAGGCCCTAGAACTTCGGGAAAAAAAAGTTTGATGAATAAATCAACTAAGAGAAATCGCTGGAAATAGTTTTCAAGTTCGTAGTTCGGCCGCTAGGGGGCGCAATTTACATACCAAAACATTGAGTTCAATTTTTCTCAGAAATGTTTCCTATTCAAATATGTATATTAAATAGTACAAATATGGATAGCCGGATTCATTGCACATAATTTTTGTTATTAACATTTTGTTCTATCTCTCGACAGAATGGGTGGGGAAGCCCCTAATATCTGATCAAAAAAATGCATTTTTTAAAAAATTGGCTCATCAAAAGCCCATAGTGTCATTCCTAGTTGGAAAGGTCTTTTCATGCTTTATTTCGTGGTGAATCCGTAATGTCATTTACTTCAACATGGAAACCTATAGATGGCGTTATGCATTTATAAAAGAATCTACCTAAGAAGCACGCAGTGATGGTTAAATTCCTGTATTGAAAATAATGGTATGCATTTCGAGCATGTTTTGGTATGTAGATTGCGCCCCCTAGCGACCGAGCTACGAACTTGAAAACTATTTCTAGAGATTTCTCTTGGTCGATTGATTCATCAAAATTTTTCTCCCGAAGCTCTAGGTTCTATATACTTCCTTTAATATCGTACCTCGCCGACCTTAGTAGGACACCCTGTATATATAAACTAAATAATAAATTGTCTTGAACACGCGAGATATTATTTAACTGTACATTTTTTTTCTATATTGAAAGTATTTACCACGCCAAAAAATTATCTAGGGAACCTATCTCTGACAATTTTTCTGATAGGTAATACACTAAAATATTTTCCCCTATTAAGGTGTATTTATAAAGGTTGTTGTTTTTGAATTATTATTTCGTTGCCAAAATTACGATAAACGTTCTTCTCAGTACATGAAATTTTTGTTTATATAGCTTTTTCAAATTTATATATCATAATTATTTAGGTATGGTCAAATATAATTTCTTGTAATTTTTGTCTTATGTTAAGTTTTCTTGATATTTCTCCTGTGATATACAGGGTGTCCCGAAATTCATGCAACAAAATTTGGTCATAGATTCCAAATTTATGGAACCAGTATTTTTTCTTTTTGCCAACTGGCCCCCTCTTTTGGAGTTACAGCCCCCTGAAATCAGCCCCATTGAATTTAGAAACTTTTTTGTCTCTTGATATTTGTTTCGTAAAACGCAATGTTTTTGAGGAAAATGGCGAATCACGATATGCATTCGATCACATTTTGACATTTTTCTCGAAAACATTGCGTTTTACAAAAATGTATAAAGAGACAAAAAATTTCTAAATTTAATGGCTTTCTAGTGGACTGATAATTTTTAAGAAATTTAAATATGCGACCAATTTTTTTTGGCTCCAAAGACAAGGGGACCCACGAAAAATTGTCTTAAGGGGGTTCACCGCCAAAAAACGTAGCACCATCAGATTCCATGTCATAAAACCCCTGTGTACCAAATTTAGTAATTCTCGTACAACAGGGTTCTGAGATATAAAAAAAATATTATTTTTAGGGGCGAACTTCAGGGGGCTGTAACTCCAAAAGAGGGGGCGTCTTGGTAAAAATTAAAAATACGGGTCTCCTAAATTTGTCTTAAGAATCTGTGACCAAATTTTGTTGTATAAATTTCGGGACACCCTGTATTTGTCAAATAACAGTCTTTCTTAGATATTGATTTACGACTACGTTTATTAGTAAATATGCTACTGCCTTTCATCAGTTTCTAAAACAATGTTGAATCTTCCAATTCAGATAACTCGAGGTACACTCTGATTTTAAACGATTTTTTCAGTCAAGGAACTGTAGTTGACAGAAGTAGAATTATGGTGACCAGTTCCTGTGTAATCGTCGAATATTTTTTGGTATATGGTCTCCCTGCTCAGTTACTGATGGACGAGGTTTGTACAAAATCTAAATTTAAGGCAAACATCGGTATATAAAATACTTACAAAATGATTATGTTGTAGTCAGCAGCAACAGCAGATATGATATACCATGAATGTAAATGGTACTTACCGAAATTACGACCTTTGAGGAAAGATTTTTTGATAATGATTTTTCACAGTCAGAAAAGTATTTGCTTAAGAGCTGGAAACTACCATGTCATTAACAATCAAACCATTTTACTAGTAAGTAAAATTTGTTAAAATTGAATTGGTTTTGTTTTGTAATTATTATACTTTTATTTCTTCTCTTTTTCATTTTATTTTTGTTGCTAATAACCACTTACATTGTTACATTTGTACAGATATTAGAGCTCCATATTATTTACTGAAAGATCTCTTGAGTCACTCGAATAATATGCGCAGAAAATAAAATATTTCAAATGATTGGTTGAAATCCTGAAATACTACTTTTTACATTGAGATATACTATTCGCGTCTTCAAGTTAGCTTTAGCGTCAATTTTTATATTTACTGTAGTTTTATTATAAAGTTTGTATTAAAAAATTGATATTTTTAATAAAATACCATTATTTATTTAAATAAACATTAGTTCAAATAAATATAATATGGTGCTTATTATACTGAACACAACATTTTATTTTCAGATGCTGAAAACTGCATATAGCTTTTATGCCTTTCTAAGAAAAGTAACATAGGCTATGAAATGACAAATTTTGCACATATTTTGTCACACTGTTACCCAAACTCTCATAATATTTAAACTGTCTCATAGATTTAGAAAAAGCGGTTACTCCAGAAAGCTAGAATATATTTCAATTTTCTTTAAATAATATCACTTGAGGTAGTTAGATCTTTATTGAAGAAAATATGGTTATACAGGGTGATCGAGAATGATTGACCGTGCCGCCTCATACTGATTTTTGATGTGCGGCATACCAGTTTTTGATACCAATACTAGAATCATGAGCGCAGGTTGAGGGATTTTAATGGTAAACAAATAATTACGTTCAAACGTCAAATAAATTAGGTTACTGTCAAAATGGAAATTCATAATAAAAATATCAATTATTTAACAAAAATCAAAGTTATTTCACAAATTAAGCAATACTGATGGACCAATAAATGTTATTATTGTTATTATTATTAAAGAGGATGACAGAATCAAATGTAGGTTTAGCCTAACTTTTCCAAAATTCTTATTTCATTTACAATTAGAAAAACTTTTAAATCAAAGTTTGATGTAGCTAATTTTGAATAACGACTGTAAGTGCTTCAGCGATTTTATTTTTAAAACGTTATGAGTTAATTTTAAAACAGAAGCACTATTGTGGCTACATTCTTGGCATCTAAGACGATTCAGCTATACAGCGATACGCTGCAAGCTGCTGTTTTTCATCAAAGCAAACTGCTGTATGCTTATAAGACGACTATTTTGCAGCTACTGCTTTCACACTTCTGAATATCCAGCGCAAGCGATCCAGCCCAAAAATTTATGCTGAACATTTTAGTTAGCTGTCGAAATTCAGGAAAAGTGTCTTAAAAAAATTTGCTTCAAGCAAATGCAAGCAGTTGGAAGTGCTTGATTATGTTAGATGGTAGGATTGTCTGTATGACCGAGAGCAATAAACAACAGTTACATGCAATATATAATAACAGAGTAATTGGAATTTTTTCACATTTTATTGAATATTTTACCTTAAAATTACATAAAATCCATAAAAATATCTATATTTTTACAATAAATGTTCAATATGATGTCCATTGTTGTTCAAGCAGGTATTAATTCTTCTTTTCATATTATTAAATACATTCTGTAAAACATTTTGTGTAATACTCCTAATTTCGTTTGTAATTGCCTCTTGAAGTTCTTCAATCGTGTGTAACCGTTGAGCAAATACTGAATTTTTTAAAAAACCAAATAAATAATAGTCTAGGGGTGTAAGGTCAGGAGAACGTGGTGGCCATCTATCTCGACTAATTATTCGATCATCATAATACTCTCTAATCAACTCTAAAGTTTCGTTAGAGGTGTGAGCTGTTGCGCCATCTTGCTGAAAGTATCCATGATGGATTTCATCGTCGTGAAGTTCCTCAAAAAATGGTAACAATATTTGCTGCCGATATACCTGCCCAGTTACATTTTCACGGAAAAAATATGGTCCGATTATTCTTCTACGTGACATAGCTACCCAAACACCAAGTTTAATAGGGTGCAGAGTTGTTTCACGCAAAATATTAGGGTTTTCTGTGTTCCAAGAGCGATAATTTTGGGAGTTTACGTACCCACTTAAATGAAACCACGCTTCATCAGAAAAAAATGTTAGATCTAGAATATCGTCGTCATTCAGATTTTCGTTAAACCAATTACAGTATTGCACACGTTTTCCAAAATCTAACGGAAGTAGTTCCTGCACAACACTAACTTTATAAGGATGAAAATGCAACTTCTTTACTGCTTTATGGCATGATCCATATGATATTCCTATAAACAATTTAGGAATAATGATACAAATTTTAGAATAAATATTTGTTATTAAGTACCTGTTTGAGCAGATAACCGACGTAGTGATTTGGTTGGACTAGCTCGTAAGCGGTTTTCAACATCTTCCAAGACTTCCTCTGTAAGAATAGACTTTCTGCCTGGAGATTTTCCTCTACAAACACTTCCAGTGTTATGGAAGCGTTCCACTAATCTCTTCACGTGTCTCGAAAAAATTTCATAATCAATTTCATCATTTGGAAATTGTTCTTGAAATTGTAAATGACACGAATTCATCGAATATTTCCAACCATTACCATTGTTTTGTCCACTACGAAAATAGGCCTCCAGAAGAAATTTATCATGTTCTAATGAAAATGCCATGTTAACCTAAATTAAAAAACCGATTAGGTTAGAGAACAACATACGCAATAAATTAATTACTCACGTATAATATCCACCTACTCTAACTGTAGTATTGAAAAATACTGTTTTATAATGTCGCAAAATATATCAGGTAACAACAAAATCTACAAAATAATATTCAAGCCGAAAAATCCGTGCGCCAATGAACAGAACGTCAAATTGTGAAATCGCCACAGAACAGCATGAAATCGCACGGAAAAAAAGTAATTTTAGCAAGCGGAAATCAGTTTTGATAGCAATTGAGTCAGGGTACGTTCAGAATCTGGTCAATCATTCTCGATATCTCTGTATAATCGCTTTTATAATGCTTTTTGAAACTGTAGTACTAAATCTAGTAACAGGGCCGGATTTTTTTTTAGAGAGCTTGTAGCCCCGGGGCTCACCATAGGTTAATCTAGCATAAAGGAAATGTTTGTATATTTTAATTAAATTAGTACTAAATGCATTGAGTTTTATTTTGTTTTCCATAGCCTATATGAAAAAAAAATTGGACAAACATGTGTCAATTAAAAAATGTGGTTTTTCTCTAGTAAAGTGTTTAACCTTATAATCTTGTAAATACTATCTATATTTGATACTATAATTTAAAAAGTATATGCATTACGATAGAAAAATTATATCAAAAACCAGATGAGCCCGTAACAGAGCATAAAAAACATAGAACATTCGATTTCATATATATAAAATTTCAATATAAAAGAATATTTTACTAACATACATAATTAATATCAAACTATATTTCACTGCATGTATCCATTTATATCTAAGGATTGCTTATTAGCAATCGATGATATACTGCATATATTTAACATGCATATTTTATCACATAGAAATGTACAACTTTTTTATCCTTATCTGTGTATTAACTATTTAACATACAGTACACGCCTAAAGTATGGAATAAATTCAGTAAAAACGAAACAATTTTTTTTTTGGGGAAAATCCTCGAACAGGTCGATTTTTAATTTAAAAAATACATATTTTAGCATAAAAGGCGATTTTCAACCGTTATTTGTTTTCGAGTAATGTTATCGATATTTTTTTTAAATAGCAACCCCCTATTTTTTTTCTTCATTCTGAAAGATCGTTTCATTGTCGATCCGACAGTATTAAAATGTTGCTATCTTACATTACTCCAGTCGGCAGAGGCCGAAAAGTTGCTGTTGGTGACATTTTCTTGATAACTCGGAAATAACTTCACAGATCTACTTTAAATGATGAGTATAATAACAGGCTAATTTGCTGACAAAACATTTTATCAGGAAAAAAAGTTATTAACAATTTAATCGTGATAAAATTTTTTTTTAGTAGTTTTCTTTAAATAACTCAGCGGGATGACTGTACGAAAAAATGCTTAGGACATGATTTTGTTCGTAATAAAAATAGCTACAAAATGGCGGTGGTCCGATTACGAAATTTGCAATAACAAAGCCGTGAGATTGAAAAAACGGTATAAAACGCCAATTTTTTTAAGTTGCTGTAAAAATGTCAATTATAAACAAAAAGTGATAAAACTTTCGAAAACTATAGTTCAATATATATACAATAATGACGCTAAAGCCGAAAATCAGGAGAGCAAAACTTTTTGTTCTATAAGGTGTTATACATTCATCGGCATCTGAAACTCGAAACTTTGCCAAATTTGTTCGAAGCTTTGCTGACACTTGAAATTTGGTACACACATAGTGTAAATATGCAGAAACCAAAAGCAATTTGCAAAATTCAAGTATCTTCATTTTTGCAGTTTTGGTAAGGTTTTATACGTCACCCTAGTTTTATACGTCACCGTTTTTTTAATTTTTGGACGTATATTTATGTATATTTATAAAATATTCCATTACGGTAGATTAGCCAGCATAATTACCTACAATTTAAAAAAATATATATTTTCATCGTTTAGATCCTAAGCTACTTAACATTTTGCGCCTGTTAGCCGTAGTCGTACATTATTCAACATATTAACATAAAACAAAATCGTACGTGTGGGGTAAACCTTTAACTTTAAGTAAACAATTGTTTAAATTTACTGTTGCATATTTCTAATAGTATACAAGCGCCGAAGAGCGGAGCTCGCGCTCGAAAATGAAAAGTTAAAGGTTTACCCCACACGTACGATTTTGTTTTATGTTAATATGTTGAATAATGTACGACTACGGCTAACAGGCGCAAAATGTTAAGTAGCTTAGGATCTAAACGATGAAAATATATATTTTTTTAAATTGTAGGTAATTATGCTGGCTAATCTACCGTAATGGAATATTTTATAAATATACATAAATATACGTCCAAAAATTAAAAAAACGGTGACGTATAAAACTAGGGTGACGTATAAAACCTTACCAAAACTGCAAAAATGAAGATACTTGAATTTTGCAAATTGCTTTTGGTTTCTGCATATTTACACTATGTGTGTACCAAATTTCAAGTGTCAGCAAAGCTTCGAACAAATTTGGCAAAGTTTCGAGTTTCAGATGCCGATGAATGTATAACACCTTATAGAACAAAAAGTTTTGCTCTCCTGATTTTCGGCTTTAGCGTCATTATTGTATATATATTGAACTATAGTTTTCGAAAGTTTTATCACTTTTTGTTTATAATTGACATTTTTACAGCAACTTAAAAAAATTGGCGTTTTATACCGTTTTTTCAATCTCACGGCTTTGTTATTGCAAATTTCGTAATCGGACCACCGCCATTTTGTAGCTATTTTTATTACGAACAAAATCATGTCCTAAGCATTTTTTCGTACAAAGTCATCCCGCTGAGTTATTTAAAGAAAACTACTAAAAA